GGAGTACAAAGGTTTCACCATGCAGAATCCTGTCAAACCTGTTGGGAGCAAGGCACTCGCAGACCTGAAGAGGAATGCAACACGTTTCTGTGCATGCTCACTGCACTGCAGTGGTGATTTAAAAAGGTAGCTGAAAACAGGGAAGCTTCACAAACAAACAAAATATCAGTTTAAAACATGTGCGCTGTTTAAAGATAGTAAAAAAAAAGATACCCATGACTCTGATTTAGATGGTGCTCACTGGACGATCGGCTGCAGCGTCAAACCACAACTCCTTAACTGTTTTTATGAAACAACAAACTATTTGTTTACGCCTGTGTAAACTTGATACTCCGGCTGGATGAGTAGGATTGATTGTACTGCACCTATGAGGGCAAGTGTTTATTTCTAAAAAAACAAGTTTGACATATGTCATAATAAAATCCCAGTTAAAATGCTCATTACAGAGATTGTTGAATGCAGTGCTCTGTTTTGTTTGTTAACAACATAGAGATCACACATTTACTGCCCGAGGTTTTTTCTTTGATTATCTTACAAGCTACAGAATAAAAATAAAATAGTCTTAACTAAGAAACAGAGAGAACGTGTTAGAACACCCAGTCTCTTAAAACAAAGATTTCACCAAGCTACTTAATAAAGATTTCCAGGCTGCAATTCCTTTTTGAAAATAACCCAACTGTCTAATTTAATAAGGCCTCAAATGTAGGGGTACATTTTGTTTTAGCTTGTAAACAGTTTCATGTTTCTAATTAATGTAAGTCTAGTAACAAAAGACCAGATATATTCCTTCAAAAATGTAAATACCTGAATTATCTGCTTTACATAAAATATACTCATGTTCTTGTGAAAGTATGATTCAATTCATGTGAATCAGAACATATTAGAAATGTAATTGAGTTATTACCCAGCCTCACTGTCAATGACCAGAACATGCGTACTGAAGACTACTCAGATCTGTGTACTTCTTTCTGTGAATGAAGGGCATAACGCTGTGTGTTTAGCACCATACTGGGATGTTAAGGAGTGATATTAGACCAGCTGTTAGTGTATGGAAGAGAAGGACTGCAGTGAACAAGTCACAACAGGGCGGAGGAACCCGGAGGAATTCAGGCGTAAATGGCTGACTTTCGCTTAGGAAGATGAACAGAGATGAATCGCCATTTTAACCAACATTTTGAAGCGGTTTCATTTACTGTATGCAGCAGGGAAGAAGATGCCTCTATACGCTTTTTCAATGTGCTAACTTCTTGGAAATGTGTCAGCGGGATCATCAAAAAACCTGCAACCTTTTCAAGGAAGTTTGTGTGCCAAAGAGCATGACACCCAAGACGTTATTATAGCATTTCTATGTTTTCTCATGAACTACTGCTCTTACTTGAATGACAAAAGAATAATTCTGACACATATCTTATATCTGTTTATCACAATGAGATTCATTCTTATTCAGATGCAGATCAGAGATTTTCTCGCATGAAAATAACACATTGCGCAGCCCAAGTAGAGCTATGTATCATCATACATCTAAATAGAGGAAAAATGTGGGCTTTTTAGTAATCTTTTTCTACATGGGAATAATAACACATGTAAAACTTCTGAAAGCAGGACTGCTGGATTTCTTTTTCATCTGGTAACATGTTTGTCTTTAGGCTTAACAGTGTTTTTGAGGTAAAACAAACAGGTAGGGTTTAATACAGTGACATCCTTTCAAAGTGTTGCACTGTATGCATGTGTGGAATGAAAACACAAGTGACCTACTACTTCATGTGTGACAGGTTTGCTATGGGAAGGTTCATAGCTCAAAATAACTTTATCTTGAACTCTGCATCACTTCCCAAGATTGATATATAGATAGGAAATTATTTTGTTACAGCAGTAATGTGTTCAGGCATTCCAATATTTAAGAGGTGAATTAAAAAAGTATTACAGCAAATCTATACATATACATACGGTACAAAAGACATGTTATATCACAAGAATACACCATATAACATATTCTGGATGAATTGGAATGTTCTATCAAATACCAATATACAAAAGCAACAGAAATATAAACATAAACTACAGTAGAAGAAACATACAGCTCTTGAAAAAATCAAGAGACCACTTCGATTCAGTTTATCTGGTTTTACTATTCATAGTTACGTTTTGAGTAAACAATAAACTACTGACAACATTTGTGTTGGAATGAAGAGATTGAGATTCAAGAATAATGTTGAGTGGTCTCTTGATTTTTTTCAGAGCTGTATATTCATAGTATTTAAATTACAGTTGAGCAAGACAGCTGTTGTGCACCAAATGTTACCAAAAGGTGTAACTAAAGGTTATACCCAAAATATGTTTAAAAAACACATACAAAATGTACAATATAAGGTAAAACATTAAAAAGTTGCATGCCTGTGTGTTTCTTACCGACTTTGGGGTGTATCTCGGTCCACTATCCATGTAGTCCATTAGGAGTGAACACCTGGACTAACTGCTCAAATAAAATAAAACGACCTTACAGTTCCTGAACTATTTACTATCTCCTTAAATTATCCTTTTCTTGTTGCTTTCTTGAACTGAAGGTGGTTTCCGAGGTGAACCTGCAGGCCCAGTCACCAAGAGACGACTCAACGAATTCAACCTGCTGCGAGCAACACTAAATACATATAAGCTACGTAACAGAGACACAGGTTACCACGATGAAATGTAAGGTGGTCTCTTTAAAAAGAAAAAGCTCCTCTCGGGTGGAGATGTTCACAAACGTCCTTGTGGTCTGAATATGTCGGTATGCGACGGAGGGAAACTAGACGACACACAATAAAATGTTTTTCCGGGAGCTTCGGGTTTCTGCGGGCGTGTCCCCGCACCTGCAGCGACTTCCTGTTTACCTGCCACAGGTAGGACAAGTGTGTTTTTGTTTCTACAGTTCAAAAGCAACTACACATTGTACTTAAGTGGGCTAATGTGTATAAGTTGTTGTATTTACATTTAAATTCAAACACTGTATCTATTTTTAAAAAATTGATATGGGGAAGTTTTCATGTGGTCTATTTTTAGTATCAGTCATGTGATTTTGTCGCGCGTCTGCCTTCTGTTTTTGTGCAATGATGACTCACTTTTGAATAACCAGATTATTTTTTCCATTCACGATGAGCCATAAATTTCATGTTGAGTAAACAGAACCCCCGAATTCCGCCTAACCTGTCAAAAATACAATTTTACAAGTTCTTGTTCAGACTATATGAATCCCCTGGGCCCAGGAGTTCAACATTTTTAATCTCAATCAGATCCGATCAGATTTTGAAATCCTATTTTTTGTGATCCAGGATCAGACAAATCGGCCAGATTTTGTCCCTGGAGTTCAAAGCAATTCAGGATAGGTTCAGCCTGATCCAGATTACGATTTTTCAAGATGACTAGATCCTGAATATCAGTGCTTTAATCCTACCGATCGCCATCTAGTGGATATGAAAAATAATACAAGGAAGACAAGAGACCACATTGCAGAGACATCTATAATGTCTAATTATATTTTTTTATTTGAAAGGTGATGACAGATGACGGACTTTTTTTTTGTTGAAGATATTTTTACTTTAATCTAAATTACATTTTTGATTGACAATCTTTGCTGTTACACTTTTATGAGCATCAACATTTATGTCATCAACATTTGGTTGAAAAACAAATAGGCCACCACAAACGTGAGCAAAAATGGGAAAAATAAAATGTATTTCCCATGAAGGCTAAAAAGTGTGTATTATTTCAGTTAACAAACTTTGCAATCTTATTTAAATTGAAACATATTTTAAAATAAATTGTACAGTACATTTTGCTCTGGTAATCCACTGGAAATCCACCCCTCTGGTGGGATCAGGGTAATCCAGTTTTTTGGGATCAAACTGATCCCAATCCTGTGTTGTAGGTTTGAACTACCCGTTTTGAAGATTTGATCCAGATTAAAGCTTGGATTGGATTTCCTGATCTGATCGGATATCAAAGTGATCCTAATCCTGTTTTTTGGTTTTGAACTCCCCAAAATCCAAATCTGATTTGATCAGATAGGGATTACAAGTTTTGAACTCCTGGGCCCTGAACATAGGCGGATTGATTCAACCAGGTGGGGGAAGTACTCAGATATTGTACTTAAGTAAAAGTAGAAGTACCAGAGTGTAGGAATACTCTGTGAGTAAAAGTCCTGCATTCAAAATGTTACTCAAAAAGTACAAAAGTATTCTAAATATACTTAAAGTACCAACAGTAAAAGTACTCATTATGCAGATTGGCCCATTTCAGAATAATATTTATATGTTTTGATTATAATTATTGATGCATTAAACTAATTGTTATCAAAGCTGGTAAAGCTGCAGCTAGTTTGAATGATTTTGTATACTGTAAGGTAGATCTGTAAAGTAACTAAACGTATTCAATAAATGTAGTGGAGTAAAAGTAGACGATTTACTGATTTAATTGTACTGGAGTATTAGTACAAAGTACCATAACATGGAAATACTCAAGTAATACAAGTATCTCAAAATTGTACTTGAGTAAATGTTACTTCCCATCGTTGGGCCTCTATACTTATTTTGTACAATATATGGCACTCCAATAAAGAGTATTTTGAGTAAAATAAAAACAATACTTACTACAATTTTAATGCAAACACACATGCAGTTAAAATAATGAAACGATTACTTGTAAGTAAATAAACAGTACACTAATTAAAAACTGTTTTGATAATCATTAGTCATAAAAATGACTCCAGATCCTTGAATGCGAATTGCCTTGTTCGATACTTGATGCATATTTCACGGTTTTGGGATTGTCCAGCTACAACTTTTTTTAATATAAATATGTCAAATTGTACAATTAATTAAAGAAATTGACAATGTAATTAAATGTTATGCAAATGTTCTTCAGCCCTAAATTAATGTGTACCTTCATTTGTCTTGGCCCATTAAATAATACAATAATTGAACATTTTGAAAATTCTATCAATCCATCAATGAAAAGACGACACGTTCATATGGAAGTTGTGAGTTTATTGATGTGTATCCCCCCTGTAACCATAAGTCTGTTTCCATTGGTGTCAATCACATTTATTTTTAAAATCACTAATATACACATTAGTTCCCAGTCCCTTCCCACAATCAAGCAGGCAGTTACAAGATTGAAGCCGTTTGGGTGCATAGTGAGACAGTCACATACAGAGATACTGTCACAGGAAGAGGAAAAAATAGAAAACAAGAAAACAAACTTAAAAATATATATCATATCATTTCATATAAGAACAATGCACACCACAGGTAATTCTCTGGAAAAAATCCATGATTTCAACATCAACTATACAGGCATACAGAGACAATACTAAGAGAGAGAGAAAAGAGGACTCTAGGATTCAGTTTACTTGTTTGTGTCATTCTCTACCTGTAAAAACACACAAGTTAGCCTTTTTATTTTGTTTGTAAAAACCAGCTCTCCAAGCCTTGTCTTTCTGTGTGTCTCTGTCTGCCTGCCCAGCCTCCAGCTCCAAGTTGTCTTCAATTGGCTTTGATCCAGGGCCGGCACAAGCTTTTCTGTATACCCACACATCTGAACATCTAGATTGTTTAAGTCCCCAACATATTAAATAAACTATCCACCAGAATGATTTTCTAACAATCCCCAAATTTGTATATTCAGGGTCAGAAAACTTTGTATAAGCTACATTCTCTCTCATTGGGGGCCCCCTGGTGGCAGATGGGCCCTCTCTATGGTGCTCCTTGTATTGTTAGTGCCCCTACACCGGCCCTGTGTTGATCTATCAGACTGTTACGCTTTATGACCAGCAAAGCCAACAGCTGCTCCAAAATGTGTGTGTACATCATACCTAAATTAGTTTTTTAAGTCATTTTTCTGGTGCTTGGTTTTTGCTACAGATAATTTGTGCAAAAAACAAAAACAAACAAATGTCATCGCCCGCTGTCACTAAATCAAAGCCACATAGTATGGAAAAAAAAGCTTCCAGGATACATTCAACTATGTAACACATGTCAATATTTAATCTACCAATGTTTGCTGTTTCCCTATTGATAAATGGTTGTGTTTGTGTGTTTGTAGGGGGGGGAATGTTATCACATTCACTTAGTAAGGGTTTAGAGTAGGTTTTGTGTGATGTGTTTGAGCTGGGGGTCTGTGCACACCTCCCCGACTCTTTCTCACAGTGTGCCTGCAAACACGACTCATGACCGCTAAGCTAAGAACCCCAAACTGACTCTTCCCTGGGAAAACAAAAGGTGAATTAAAAACATCTATTCTTATATATATATATATTTAAACTGTATATGTATATTTTGTCTGTTATCATAACAAAGAACGGAAAGTAAATAATTCATGATTTCATTTTTTTTCTCATTTGTTGTTTCACTATACATTTTAATCGGTACAAAGAACCTTCATATACAGGCAATCTATTGAGAGGAAAAAAGAAACAAAATAAAAACACCAATTCTTTTTTGAGAGAAACCATCAGAAACAGCATGAAGGACACCTGCATGATGAAAATTAGTACTGTAGTGTCTGGTATGCCGGTTCGATGATGGCCACTCAAATACATTTAAATGTTGTTTGATTTGCCTTTTACTTAAAAAAAAAATAAAGAAATAAAACGTCTGAAGAATTGCTATACATCTTGATCTGAAGAGAGTTGTATTGATAATTACAGAGAAATCTGCAGAATTACATTTTCCGTAATGCAAAAATGGCAGATACATCACCTTTTGAAAAGAAATATGATCAAAAAGAGCTCTATAGTACAATAGTAGCAGTAGTAGCAATATTTAAGGATTGTTTCGAACAAACCAGTAAATGGAGTTTGGATGTACGCAAATGATTTTAACAATAGCATATGTTATTGGTCAGTAGTATGTTCCCCCTCTGTGACTCCACAGCGCCCCCTGTAGGCTCTTGTTAGATCTGCATCTGCTCCAGGTATTTGTAGGTGGGGTTCTCATAGCCGTGGTTCTGCATCTTGCTGAGGTGGCGTTCCTCTGGTGTCAGCATGGGGTCAACCTGTGAGACAAGCACACTGTTAATGGCTGACCTAAACAGGGGCACCATCACACCATGCCATTTTTTAAAAAGGGGCCCGATTATGCTATTTCAAATGTTCCCTTTTCCCTGTAATGTGTGATATCGTTTTTTGTGCATGTAAATGCTCTGCAAAGGCTAAAATAGCAACTTCTATTGGCTAGCAGACCTAAACACTGTAGGCTAAGGGGCAAGACATGTCTAAGTGGTTGACTAATCATAACAGAGCCGGCCAGCTGACCAATCAGAGCAGACTTGGTTCTGGTTTTAAGACCGAGGGTAAAAAGAGGTTCAGCACAGGCCATATGAGAAAAATAACATTAACATTTTAACATTAAAGCATGGAAAAATGTCTCAATAGAAACCCAAAATACAAATATGAAGCTGAAAATTAGCATAATATGTCCTCTTTAATTTACAGTCTCTCTGTGCATATTTGTCTTTGTTATATTGTTATCTTTATTTGTTCTTTCCGTTTTAAAATATATAAATATTGTAGGAATTATATAGTTTGAATGAAAGAGTTGACGTAAATGTTCTTAGATAATATTCTTTCATGCTAAAATGTTTATATATTTTTCAATAGGAAAAAAAGTGGTAGTAAAGTATCACTATAATTAATATAGACATTCCAGGAACAGATGAACAAAAGCATGTGTAAGCAAATGTACATTTATGTTAACTCCTGCACTCAAACAAGGTCAGAGTGCACTTACAACATGCTGTGTGGATCGTATGTAAATGCTGCAGGGACAATGATCTAATTTGCTTGACATCGACCCATACCCCCTTTACATAACCCCTGACGATTCTATTGAAATCTGACACCAGGAATAAGACTGATCGCACTTCTTTGAGATCCAGGTAACAGGTGCCTTACCTCCACAATGCCGTGACTGATGGTGCCGTATTGCCTCTTCCTCAAAAGCACCAGACTGATTACAATCACGGTTGCTATGGCCACCGCGATCACCAGCAGGCCGATCAGCGCCGTGCTGCCGAAGCTGAAGTCCTCTCCCAGGGGGCGGTAGGTCTCCTAAGGGGAAACAGGTGGGAGAGCAACAACAATACTGTCAGACACAGCAGAGGTACAAATTAAGACATTGTACACATACTAGTTATCTTGATCAGGTATTTTTTCATATGCTGAATATATTTTCAAATTCTTGTTATCATGCTGCTATATGACCATTTTGAATAAAGCTCCCGCCCTGACACCTCAAAATGTATTTCAAGTCTGACTCTCATATTCATTTTTTCTATTATGACCAATGATCATAAACACATTAATATCCACTTTTACTATTTGTAGTATTGCACAAATTGCACATCTCCATATTATCTTGATTATGATCAAATTATGCTTCAATCTCAAATGGCACTAAAACATCATTGGAATCACTTTACCCTACATTATGTTAAGAAAAAAACGTTTTATTGCATCACACAAAGCACATAATGAGGCATTTTTAAAATCAGGTTTTCTTTTCCATTTTCTTTTATGAAAGCAAGCTAGACAACTTGTGCAAGTAATTCTTGAGGATATCCATAATTATCCCAAAAATGGATATTCCTTATATTCAATTTATTTCAAGGATTTATATATTCTCCTCCCCAGCTGACGCATATTATCTTTTTGTGTTTGCTGCTTATTTTCTAATATGCACAAAGTGGATTTGCAATGCTGCGTAGGTTACTTCAATAGCTACAGTAAATGTATTTCAAATGCACGCCTGTCTTTGTTTACTTTCAGTCCGACTCAAAGAGAAGTTTGATTGTTGCGGTGGGCTCGCACTCCTCGGCCGGATCAATAGTGTTCTTGCTTGAATCTGTGTTTCCAAATATCTACAGCGAAGGCTATGAGTAAACTGTTCTCAGGATCAATAGTCATAATGGAACAAACATAAGAGCAGCTCTACACGTACAATAATTCCCTTTAAAATATAAGCCAATGTAAGACATGACTGACTCGTGATAGTGTGTACACATGCATGAAATGTGTCTTTGTGGAAGATTATTTTCCAATTCAGTATAAACACACAACCACAGTCACCTACACTCACAATGTAATCTGGCACATATGACACAAACTAATCATATGTGAAGCCACTTTTCTTACTGCTCATTCTCACACATAAACCGAGCACACTCAGTTTGTGTGGATTCACATTCATCATAATCACTTGAGATATTCAATGTGTACATTCCAATACAGTCACATGACAAACATGCACTCATGCAGAAATAACCAAAACATATTAGCCTAAACAGAAAGAAAAAGTGGATTTGGGATCTTTTCCAAAGCTGTCTTTTTTTAAATTATTTTTTATTCAGCTGCAGTACCAGTATATTTGCACACTCCCACACTCCCTCCTTCTTTCATCTTCTCCCCACTACAGTTCCCCAGAGAGCCCTGTGGAGGGCACCGCTATACTCACCAGCTCATCATCATGCATAACTCTGACTCTCTCTGCGCTGTAAATCACTTCCTTAACATCCAGAGACTCATCAATCACCTGTCAACACAGACAGGGGAGCCCAGGTTACGCAAAGTGTGTGAGAGATTGTATGTGTGTGAGATAATAGATAGTGAGAGAAAGAGAGGGAGAGATAGGCAGGCGGAGAGCAAGGGGGTGTGAATTTGGAGCGAAGTAAACTGTAGAGATTATCTTTGTTTGTGTGATGATACACTCGGAGCTGTCTTGTACAAACTGGGAGGAGAGAGAGAGGGG